TTTGTATGTCCCAATATTGTTTTATGCCATTTGAATAGACTTCTTTTAACATATGACTATGAGTGTTGTTAAGCTATGCATTAAGTTAATAAGCAGTTTGTTCATCTTTTTTTTTTTTTAAGTGGGAAAGGGCACCAAGGAGTTTCCAACCCTTGCTCAAAGCTAAAACTTTTAGTTAAAAAACTTAGGGGGCCTAAAGCATCTTGCTTCTCCAAACATATAAAAAGGAAAAACCTAGAATGAACATAAACCACATATCTAGGAGCTTTATTGAGGGCAATTCTTCCTCGTTCAAAGTTCTTTATTGCATTCCCTTTATAGAAGCTAAAAAAATCGAGAGAGGGATGGACTCAATCACTTGCATTTTTGTCTATAAATGCATGCTCTTCCAAACTGATAGCTCCTTTACCATTCAACCTGCTGCTAGTCATGTATTTAAGAGAGAGAAAACTGAGGACTAGAGCTTTTGGCTCAATAAAAATTCAACAAATGAAAATGAAGTTTCTTTTGCCGATTGCACATAGATAGAATCTATTTGGAAGGATTTCTCCTCTTTTGGAGACTATCAATGGCAAAGTTTTTCCCGGATGCTTCCTGTCTAAAGAAGGCAACCTTAGCCTTAACTTCTGTCTTGCAAACTGCCTTTGATGAAAAATGTTTTATACCACCCCAGCAGTTAATTATATTAAGTAATGCAACTTTATTTGTGGCTATATTCTCTTTAAATAGTTTTTGGTAGTATTTTCTTACATTTGCATTTTTTTTTCATGTTTTTCTGTCAGTTTCTTATTGTTTCTTGGATTATATGTAATTTTGGTTAAATTAGTCATCTCGTTTTCTATTGATGCAATTAGCCTTACCCTCTTTGTGTTGAACCATTCGAAGCTTATGCTTTAATTAATGATTTCTCTCTTGCAGATGACTTTGGTCTCTTTGTTTTTCTTGCATGAACATGCTTGACATATTGCGGAGCCAACATTCTGCTGCCTTTTCTCTTTCTAGGCCGTTCAAGCTTATTGCTTTTTTATTTTTCCAAAGTGTGCAAGCTCACATATGTTCTTGCTCTAGTCCTAACATGGTTTTATGGTGAATTATGTGATGTTGGATGCTTTTTTTTATTACATTTCTTTATTATTTCTATGTGAAGGTGCTTAACTAAAAGATTAACTAGACTATGATATTGCAGTTACTCTTGACTTCCTTTTCTTAACTTCTCATAAGATTAACCAGAGTATGATATTGCAGTTACTCTTGACTTCCTTTTCTTAACTTCTCATCTTTTAAGATAACAGCATAGAGTTTGTCATTTTTGTAAAATGCATGAATTGTTAATTAGAAGTTCCTTGTTAGTATCTGAGCTGTGCCCATTTGTTGAATAATGATTTTGTAGGATTTTATTCTTTTTAAAGTTAGCTGATACCTTATATTTTTAATTGCTTGTGATTCATGTTGTGAAAAATTCTTTTCAGGTTCATCTGCTACCGACTGGGCTCAAGATGGAGAGTATGTAAACTGGATGGATCAGCATATGTTTGATGTAGAAGATGCTCAAGAAGGCAAGAGATGGTCCTCGCAGCCACAACCTTCTTCTGCTCGTGTTGCAGAATCGAAGCCTTTGTATAGAGCTTCCTCATATCCCCAGCAGCAACCACAGCCACATCACTTCATAAGTGAACCTATTGTTGGACCCAAATCAACCTTCACATCTTTCCCTCCTCCTGGTAGCAGATGCCAGCAGTCTTCACCTGCTCACCTAAACATTCCTGCTCTTAGCAGTGGATCTCAGCCACCCTTCTCTGCAGCAAGCTTCTCTCCATTGTCCAACCCCAGTCTTCATCTAGCTGGTCTTTCTGATGGATTGCATTATGGTAGTAATCTATCCCGGTTAACATCTCCTGGCCTATCTTTTAGTAGCAGGTCACAAAATCACTGGGTCAACCACTCTGGTCTATTACATGTAGATCATGCTGGTCTTTTGCATAATATGTTGCAACAGCAAATACCTCATCAAAATGGCCTAATGTCCCCACATTTAATGTCACCACAACAGCAGTTGCAACAGCAGAGACTGCACCATTCAGCTCAACCATCTTTGGTGCATTTTGCAGCATTGCAATCTCAACTGTATAGTGCCTATCCTCCATCACAAAAAATGTTGCTTGGACAAGCTGATCTTAGGGATCAACGAACTAAACCATCCCAAAGAAACAGGCAGAGCATGCGTATTTCTCAGCAAAGCTCTGATACCGGTAGCCAGAAAAGTGAGAGTGGGTTGGTGCAATTCAGATCTAAGTATATGACTGCTGAAGAGATAGAGAGTATTCTTAAGATGCAGCATGCTGCCACACATATTAATGATCCTTATGTAGATGATTATTACCACCAAGCTTGTCTTGCCAAAAGATCTTCTGGATCCAGGGCCAAACATCAGTTTTGCCCATCTCACGTGAAGGAATTACATTCTCGATCTCGTAACAGTGGAGAGCAGCATTTGCATCTCCATGTTGATGCACTTGGGAAGGTCCCCCTCTCTTCCATTCGGATACCTCGTCCTCTGCTTGAAGTCGATCCTCCCTTAGGTTCAGGTGATGGAGGTTCTGAACAGAAAACTGAGAGGCCTCTGGAGCAGGAACCTATGCTTGCAGCTAGAATCACCATTGAAGATGGTCTCTGTCTTCTTCTTGATGTGGATGATATTGACCGGCTTCTACAATTTATTCAAACCCAAGATGATGGAGCTCAGCTCAGACGGAGGCGGCAGATCCTGCTTGAAGGTATGGCGGCATCACTTCAACTTGTTGATCCACTTAGCAAAGGTGGGCATGCTGTTAGCTGTTCTCCCAAAGATGACATTGTGTTCCTAAGATTAGTCTCTCTTCCCAAGGGCCGTAAGCTCCTCACCAGGTTCCTTCAGCTTCTCATGCCTGGAAGTGAGCTTATTCGAATAGCATGCATGGCCATTTTCCGTCACTTGAGGTTCTTGTTTGGTGGTCTTTCTTCTGATCCAGAAGCAGCCGAGACAACTACTAATCTTGCAAAGACTGTTTCTATGTGTGTTAATGGCATGGATCTTCGGGCTCTTAGTGCTTGTCTTGTTGCAGTTGTTTGTTCTTCAGAGCAGCCACCACTCAGGCCCATTGGAAGCCCTGCTGGGGATGGTGCTTCTGTTATTTTAAAATCAGTTCTTGAAAGGGCTACTCAACTGTTAAGTCATCCTTCTGGAAATTGCAGCATGCCTAATTATGCTTTCTGGAGGGCTTCGTTCGATGAATTTTTCACTCTTCTTACCAAGTATTGTGTGAGTAAATATGATACGATAATGCAATCAATACACAACCAGTCTCAGCCAACCACGGAAGGAATTGGTTCAGAGGCCATAAGGTGTGAAATGCCGTGTGAGCTACTGCATGCTAGTCTTCCTCACACAAATGAGGCTCAGAGGAAGCTTTTAATGGACTTCTCTCAGCGATCTGTGCCTGTGAATGGATCCAATTCCCATGCTGGGAGTACTAGCCAAATAAACTCTGAATCAGTGAAGGGTTAATAAAGGACAATGGTGTGGTAACGTGAAAATGCCCTGAACACTGCACTAGATGGAATGTGGGACGGGGGAGCAGAAGCAAGGTGGGATGTGTATTTACTGTAGAAGTCTGGTTTGGAGGGGCTAGTATTATCTGCATTACACTTTGGTTCTTGTTATGATCCCCTTACCTTCCCCCCCGCCCCCCCTTTTTATCTGAAAAAAAAAAAGATCATTGGAGAGAAGAATCATAAGATTGGAAGTTGATGGAAGTTATAGTAACGCATAAATGTGGTATTATGATGGGAGTTGGGTGACTGGAAGTTAGTTCAGCTTCTGGGGAGCTTTTATTTTGGTGCTCTGTTTTGAGACTCCAATACATGTGGATGTGTAGTGGGTTAGAATGTACAGGTGGAGTGATGGTCTTCTAACAGACCCTTTTGGAAACAAACTCCTTTTCTTTTATACTGTTTCATTACGATAAAATCTGAGGGAGTCTGATGATGCCCAAGTTCTCTAGATTTTATCTATTTCTGGGAAACTGACGAGTTATTCAAATGGGTCACTCCGAGCAATCAGAATCCTGTAATAATTATCACCGAAAATGGGCGACCATGCAAAAAAACAGCCACCGGTGAAGGCAACAGGTTTCAATATCCTAATCAGAAACTAAAACAAACTGCACCAACTGTGCTATATGCTTTGGCAGAATTCAAGGACTGCAAACGCACATACCAAATACTTTTCACTGATCAGTGGCTTGTTAAGAATCTAAGTACTTGCCCACTTTGTCGACGTTCTGTCAACCAACCACTCAGACTTGACGCATCTTAGAGGGTGAGTTTAGATTTTTATTTATAGAATTCAAGAAAATTTATTAAAATAAATAATAATATAATTATAAATATTCAATATTAATAGCTTAATGTTTATTTATCTATTTGTTTTATTTTACATAATTAATTATGTATGTATCTTTTATTTGCATTTATCTATTTACAAAATAAATTTTTATATGTTTAATGATTATTTATTCAATTTTGTATTTACTTATTTATGTATTTTTTTGTATAATTATTTATAGTTTTATACTTACAAAGTATTTATTATTGTTTTAGCTATTTATTTATTACATTAAAGAAAAACAAAGGAAAATTAAAATTATTATATATAGACAGAAAAAACGTAAACCAGCACCAGACCAAATTTAATTAAAAAAGAAATTTTACATTACTACTTTAGATATATCTTGGTCCCTAATGAAGATTTTTTTAATTAAAAGTTAATAATTTTAAAAAAGTATAGTAATTTAAAAAAAACTGATAGCAATCCTAATTCTATTTGGTTCTGGACTAGTAATGGCAGTACTTGATTGATAATTCATATAAAAGTGGGACATTTGAAACAATTAAAACGGAAATTTTGGGTAAGTTTTTCTTAATTATATAATATCAGGATCGATCATACTGTTGAAGAAACCATGTCAACGCCACCAACTACTCCAAACCTTGAGGTTGAGACATCAATAAACCTCTTTTTGATTCTAGGTGTTATTGCTTCTTTTCTGATAGCAATAATTATAGTTTATATCATAAGTGCTTGCTACGAGAAAGCCAAGAGGCTGCTTCCACCCCAAGATATTGAAACTGGTGGCTTTCTCCCCCAAGCCATGCAAGGCCAAGGCCAACCGCGGCGGCAGCAGGCTTCAAAGCCGATAATCCTGGCGGGGGCTGTAGTTATATACAGGAATATTGAGGAAGAACCAGAAGAAGCAAAGTACTGCAGCAACGAGTGTGCGATATGCTTGGAAGAGTTCAAAGAAAGGGATCGTTGCAGGATTTTATCCAAGTGCAAACATATCTACCATATTTGTTGTATAGATCGGTGGCTGCTCAAGGAGTTGCATTGCCCGCTTTGTCGTGGTTCTATCCACGCTACACTACCAACTCATGTTCAAACTGCTTGATTTTTTTTAAATATATTTGAATTATTCAAGATTGAATTTTTTACTGAGATTAAAAGTTCACCAGAAACTAAAAATTCAGCATTATCATATATCACAATATTCTATATATATATATATATATATTAGTTTTCATGACACGTGCTATGCATGTGATTTTTAACAAAATTATAATTATAATATCTATAGCTATTAACAAAAGTAGTAGTCCCATTTTTTTAATTTTTTTTCCACGTTTTTTAAGTCATTAAAAAAAATTGAAAGTTAATTTGAGTCATGAAAATTATTTTATTTTGTTTTCCCCGCCTCTAGCTGTCCTCTCTCTTTTTCTTTTTGTCTTCATCCATTGTGTGCTGCTTTTCTTCTTCAAATCCGACCATCAGCAATGCCGATGCATGGGTCATCTCCGTTGGGGTCTCTCAAGGCCAAATGCTGAGTGGAGCTGGACGGTTTCAGCACCGTGGAGGTGGGTGTTGAAGCCTGGAATCGCAGGTGAAGCTAAGATGTTTAAAGATATGATGATGGATAGCAATGCTTAAAGAATGTTCTATGGATCCCAATGAAACCGTTCAGAGGCTCCTCCTTCAGGATACTTTTTTTCTCTTCCTCTTTTCATTTGAAGTATCTTTCTATCTAAGTTTTCTTTTTCTTTTTGGATTTTTTATGGGGTAGTTTTTTTTAGGTGGTTGCTAAAATGGGGTTTTGATATTTTGTTATATGTGTTTTTCGAGTCTATTTTTTTTTATCATAATTTCATTTTTGTTGATTTAGGTTTTGTTGTTGGGGACTGTAGTAGGTTATTTTTTATTTTTGGGTGTGATGAGTTTGCGCCATTCATGGGATTATTAGATTTTGATTTTATGTGTATTTTTTATAATTTTTTCAGTCCTTTATATATATATATGTATGTATCTATATATGTCAAGTTTTGGTTTTTGTTTTTTTTTCTTTGCAAATTACGTGATTGTTGGTATTCATATACCTTTTTTTTAATTTTCTTTTTTTTTTTAGAGTTAGTTAAGTATTTAATGTGTCTGTGTGATCTTTAAAAGTAGTATTTAATGTGTCTGTGTGATCTTTACAAGTAAAAGAACTTGGCTCTAGAAATGGGGTTTTGATTAAATTGCTTCTTAAATGGTGTGTCTGCAGCAAATGTTGTTCTCTTGAAGCTCATTGTTTAATTATTCCTGCTTTCAGTTCATTAGTTAGGACATTATGATCTGTTGGTTCTTTTTATGAAGATTTCATTTTCAGTTATTGATTACAAAAGGTTTTCAGTTTCAATGTTCTCACTCTTTTGCTTTCCTACTTATTCTTAGGCACTTAGGTACTAAATGTGGTGTTTATTGTTATAACACTAATTCACATTCTAATGAATCGTGAAATGTTATCCATGTTAAGTGAAGCTTTTGGTTGGCATTCAACTCCACATCAAGTGTTTTGAGGAAGTTTAATGTGGTGATAAGCATCTGCAAAAAGCTGTGGATTCTTAACCCTAAGGAATTTTCCTGTTTTGGTTGTTGGTTTAGCCACTATATCAATACCGTTAGTTTTTCCCATGTATTTGTTATTGTATGTTTTTATTCCTAGTTGTTTACATTTCGATGTTTTTAGTTTCTTCAGTTTAGTATCAACTTGAGGATTGATATCATATTATGGCCTTTTATGTACTGTAAGCTTATTGGGTTTCTCCACTTCATATGAGTTACCACTTGGTTTTGAGGAAAGAGATGTCAGATATATGTGGTTCTTTGAAACCTTTGGGTATGTAATTGTGTCCATTTACTTCAAGGGTAATATAATGTACAAATATCAAAGTTTGCCCAAGATTACTTGAAACAACTGAAAATTTTGTTGGGAAAAAGGGTTGGTACAGCTTATTGATTAATTAATGATATTGCCATTTGCTTCAGCTAACTGGCTCCTAGGTATTTCATGTATGGCAAAGTAAATGACAAGATTGATGTTTATGCATTTGGTGTTGTGCTGCTTGAGCTACTAGCTGGAAGCAAGCCAATATGCAATGACTATCCAAAAGGCCAAGAGAGCTCGGTCATGTAGGTATGTCCGTTTCGCTCATGTGGCTCATCATTTTTAATCCACCTTTCAGTTTGGTGTCAAAAATAAAATTTTCTATTTCCAAGCACAGAAACATATTAACAATGTTGTGAATTGGGGTCATCAGCTTCCTTTCAGAATGTTTGTAATATAGTCATAAACATGATTATTTCCACTATAAAAGTCTTCCTCACTTTACTGAAGTTCTTTCTGTTTCTGTGCTTATGGATGTTTGTTTGAGCATGTTTGGTATCATGAGAATAATAGTAATGCTGCACTATTGGTAAAGATCAGACTATCAAGCTTTGGGATTGAATAGAATATACAACTAAAGTTAAAGATTTTTTTTGTTATGTTATTGCAGCAATTTAGGGTTTAGGAATTATGATTGGGATTATAGATGGATGGATTACCCGCCACAGGATAGAGATTTGAAACACCTTTGTGACGAAGCAATGGCTACTTATAAAGGTCACTTGGTCTTGCGTACTTCTATTCGCTATTACTTTTCCCCAGAATCCAGGTGAGTGTCATTGTAGTTTCTTTCTCTTTAGCTGAAACTTAGGTGATCAATTGAATAATAAAAGGCTGTTTGCTTGATATCAGTCAAATACTTTGTCAAATCAACTTAGAAATAAGTGGTTTCTCATTTTGGTTAGCAAGATATTTTTCTTTATCTCACTATTGACTCTAGTTAAAGTATTTATTTAGTTGTCATCAATTTCTTGAATCTGTTATTGCAACACTGGTCAGAAGTACATTTACACTGGATCTTATGATTCTCGCATTTATATTTATGATGTGGTAAGTAACCAAATTCGTTATTGCTTTTCCTATAGTTTGCATTTAGAGTCACTATTGCATACACCATTGATATATTGTCAAAAATATTGTCATATGATAAGAATATAGGCTCTTTGTTAGATTCAAAAAACTGTTAAATTGGTGGAGTTTCTGTACTGGATGGCTATATTTGTAAAGGTGCATTCTCCTGAAATTGTAACAAAAAAAAAAAAATTCTATTACCATCTGATAAAGATGCTTGCAGTGGGCAATGAGTGATTATGCTGGCAAATGAATGTCACTTAACGACTGCAGCATAATATGCTAAAGCCATTGCATGAATACCTGAAACTTTTGGCTTGTGCTATACAACGAAATTCTTTTTTTATTGAGGGTAAAATGGTTATTCCTTACAAGTAATTGGAGCCCAAGTTGCAGTACTCAAGCACCATGCATCACCTGTAAGAGATTGTAGTTGGCACCCGCACTACCCCATGTTGGTTAGCTCTTCTAGGGATGGGGATGTGGTTAAGTGGGGATTCCCTAGCGATGGAGATGCACCTACCTTTGTGAGTAAGGGGAGAATCTAGAAGTGCCAATTGGGTTTATATGGATGTTTACATGTTTGTCGTATTTACTTAAAGAATTCATACTTTAAAAATGCTAAAAGAATGCCTTTTGAATTTCAAGAGAGGTGATATGATTACCTAAAGGAGCTTCAGTGCCAATAACACTTAAGGCTCTTGAGTATGAACTATTCCACTTTAATATAGGTTGGTTTATTGATTTTTTTTTAATAGTTTTCGGTGTTTTATATGACATAAATGAATTTGAAATTGAATACATGTGCATTATTGTATTTATATGGTATATTGTTATTAAAATTTTTTGTTATCTTACTAATTGGGATTCTTTTTGGGATTTTTTTCTGGAGATTTGAGCTGCCCTTTTTGCTTGGTATGTAAGAGAATTTGCGATTAGATGTTTTCCATAAGCTTAGCAATACCAGAGTCCAAATCCAATCCTATGTCTTTTATGGTATGTATGTTTTAACTTTACCATTCTTCATGTAGAAATTTGAATCATGACTGCTATGCTCATCTTCTTTTATGTTTAATATGTGTTATCTGCATATTTTAAATTTATCAACAATTATTACAGCTGACTTGTTTGATAAATGCCTCATGGATACCATTGCTTTGTTGAGTTGGATTCTTCATAATCATCAGTTTCACAATTTTAATTGTCTACAAGACTAATTCTCATAAATTTTATTGTGTTGCGTGGATTTGCAGTTAAGAACTTAGTATTGGGAAGTGTTTGATGATCATATTTAAGCTTATACTTTTGAGCAACCGTTTATTGAGCTGAACAATGGAGAAGGAGAACTAACAGTTGAGTTTTTACATAATCTGAAGGTAATTATGGTAGATCTTTCTTTTTTTCTCAAGTTATTAGGTATATTTCTCCATGTTGAATGCTGAGTTACAGCTAGGGTTACTTATTTTTTTGTGATCTGCCGATGATGATGACAAACAAATAAGTCTTCAATGAATAAGTTTAATATCTCATCATCATTAACTTTAACTAATGTAAATATTCAAAATATAAATAATTGCATAACTATTTCTCTTATACATTTTTCAATATTTAAATTATTAATACATAATTTTGTTTTACTTTTGCAACTTAATTATAAGTATATAATTTAATTTTATTCTCGCAATGAAGTATGGACTTGAAATCTAGTAATTAAATAATTTTAGTATTTGTTTGTAGTAATAAAATTGAAATAATTATCGTAATACTAAATTAAATTGAAAATGTAAATTTATATTCAAAAGCAAATAAATAGAACAAAAATTTTAAAATGAAGTTTTAATAAAAATCAATATCTAGTTTTTCTTTATTTTGATTTTTTATTTAAAAGGTTTTTTCAAGTATTCTAGTGTTAGGTTATTATCTTCATTAATTTTTATACATTTTTTAAGTTTTAGCTTTAGGATTGTGTTCTATCATAATCAAATCTAATTATGCACTTTCCTTTTTTTACTTTATGTTTTATTTTTAGATTTTTTTTTAGTTTTTTAGTGGTGGGTTTATATCTTCATTTTTATAAATTTATAAGGTAATCAATCATCATTAAACTCATTCAAGCTTTT